GCCCCCCCCCCCCCCCACACACACACACATAAATGTACGCACGTTGTCCTCGCTCCCATCCACCACCCCAAAAACCCATCCGTAAACAGAAAAATAAACTAACAAACAAACAAATAACTGAACTAGAATAAACCAAACAAAAAACAAAAAGCAAAAAACATAGACAAAACAAAACCAAAACCCTAATCTATTAAAGACAACAAACTTGAAGTTATAAAAACACATTTAATTCTTTTTTTTAAATATACAGTTCAATGAAATGATTACAGTATTTTTGTGACTGTCCAAAGCATGGTGGCATGGTAGCAGGCCAGATGAACTGACCACGAGGGTGATTCCGGTCCGCAGCCCGTAGTTTGATGATCCTGCTCTCATCCAACAACTTTGAAATGAAAACAAACCCCACCTCTGCTTGTATGTGAGATACATCATAATAATATGTATTTTCAAGGATCCTCTCTGCGTTCCTTGTCTTTTCTTCTCCTTTCTTCGTGCCACTGTGGCATGAGTTCAACCTTTGAAATCAGCTTTTGGGATCATATTATAAAGTACCAGACTTACACTAAAATGTTCTTAATCGAAAACGAGGTATTTAATTTGTGCCAAGTGATAAAAACAAAAACAACAACAACAACAATAGCAACAACAGCATCAACAAACTACTGATCGAATATTAATAATAATATTGTACGTGATTGTTATAGTAACAATGTTTGCAATTGAATGGCAGTCACCTTTTCAGCTTTTGTGGAATTCGGTAATTGATTTTAGTTTTTATCATTAGGCATGGGCCTTATGAGTAAAACACTCCCTGCGTCAAAAATAGCCGCAGTCCTGTAAACATAGAGGGAGTTGGCCTGTTTTGGCCTTTCTTTCTCAGCAGTGCTACCAACAAATTATGAAACTTGCCATGTCACATCGGTACCTCAGAATAACAAAGTTCTATCAGACATTTTTTTTACCGTTTTGAGTTACAATATAAGACCATGAGATCAAAATCCAAATGTCCTATCTGCTCTTTCAAATTCGTATTATTATTCGGAGTCGTAATCAGAATATTCAAAGAATTGCAGTAAAAAAATCTTGACATGATGTAGAACTCAAAATCTTTGATGTCAATTTTCTCAAAACTAGGTACTGAGCCGATAGAGCTTCATAATTCTGAAGTAGCGACATGAGTGAAGGTTAGGCTGATGACAGTGAAACAGCAACATGTGACATTGGATCAGGCAGCCAAACCTGTGTCAGTGATAACTGTTAGGTTCTTCGCTGTTCCTCTTGAAAAACATAAGTTCTATTCCGGCAAAGATGAAGTTCTATTGCAGGCCATCTTCCTGCACTGATGCTGCTGCCCATACAGCACGGGTTGGAGAAGCCGCCCTCCTTCTACAATAATGCTATCTTAATTGAGTCTCGACATGGTGGAATCCAGCGCTCGTCAATTTTTGGGCATGTGGGGTGATTGGTATCATCTTAAAGTATGTTCATTTGCCTTGCTTTTGAAAAAAAAAATGCCCATCTTTCTTGATTAAAGATCGAGATACTTGCGATTGGAGGAGGTAAGGGTCACCTGGTTTCAGAGGTAAAAATAGAGACAAAATAGGCCGTCAAAGTTTGGTGGCTTCCATGGAAACTAATAACTTACATTTGTTGTGCCTTTAATCAACGTTTTTCAGTAATAAATTCCACTGAGAAATGTACTTTTACATGAAAAAAAAGACAAAATTGCCGAACCGGCGGGAAAATGCCCGCTTCTTCGATTTCATTATTTTGACAAGCGCATGATTTCACCACGGTGCTTCAAAATAGTTTTGATTAGAATTATAAGCTCGTAAAACATATTTCAAAATCACAACCAAAGAGCATGCTCACACAGAACTATTGCTACCCTAGAAGAATTGCAAAGTTCTATCTGCACACAGTATCTATTTTGAGAAATTTGACCCCCCAAAAAATAAATTAGTTCCACAACATGTCAAACAATTCACTAAATGCCTTGATAGCGACTCCGAATAATCTTACAATTTTAATAGACTACATAGAACATTTAATTTTGTTTTTGAACTCATGGTCCTAGTAACTCAAAACGGGAAAAATATTAGATAGAACTTTGTAACTCTAAGGTAGCGCTGTGTCAGCTGACTGTCAGGTCGTCTTGTTTTCTCGCCTCTGTCTCCCTGGTCACAAATAGCACACGTATAAAGCGAAAAATGTGCGACTTCTTGGCTTGGAGGTAGTCTTTACAAGGACTTAAGGATTTCTCTCTGCCTACCTTTTACCAACAGTTAATGGTTGTTATATTTTCTCTTTGACTTGTGAAGATAAATGGTATACCTGGAACCCATGCTCCACCCAGCCCCCCCCCCCTCTCTCTCTCTCTCTTTCTCTCTCTCTCTCTCTCTCTCTCTCTTTCTCTCTCTCTCTCTCTCTCTCTCTCTCTCTCTCCCTCTCTCTCTTAACAGCTGTCTCTTTTCCTGCTAAGACATTGCGTTCACCCATTCCGATCTGCCCACTAATCACAGGTCCTGGCGTTGACTCATTGTTTTACTCTGTTAACCCATTTGATGTGTTCAGTTGGCACAAAGGTTCCATTGAAGTTACAGGCATGAAGTTGGCGTCATTAGATCAAAGACTCATGCGGAGAGTTGTTAAAGTTTTTGGTATTTCGCTCCAGTTTAGTGTGGGGTATATACAAACATGTTTTAAAAAAGAGACCCCCCCCCCCTTCCAAAACAACAACAACAACAAAAAAACAACAACAACAGAAATTCAGTTCCGAGGACTCGTTTTAAACAGTCCATGTTTACAAGCTTCGATAAGTTCAGTGTGTTCCACTGTTTGTTTGGTAATAATATAAGGTAACGATAAACTAAAAGGGCTAACTCCTGAATGAAAGAGGGTTATTTCTCCTCTGAATGACACTGCTAGGGGTTATATGAGGCACAGCCAGTCCAAAACCATGCACTCTTGATGGTTTTGTTGCAGGCGCAGATGTTTTGACCTTTGCAGCCTGCCCTGTGTTTCTGGAGTCGATAACGTGTGTGAATTCCAAACCGCCGTACGATTTTACAAAGTTCGGTGTAAGTCGTTGTTTTGTAATGGTGCTCTTCGTTGGTCGCATGTAGCTCGCTATGTTGTTTGACATCGTAGGATTCGACTCTGTACTCTTTTCAGTACGCACGAACGACGTCTTTAGTTCTGATGACGTTCCATAGAGTGCTGGACTTTTTGAGCCGGTGTTTCCCATCGGAGCTTGTCTTTGTAGACCAGACAATGTTGATGACGTTGTTGGGGGAGCTAGAGAAATTTGGGAAATTTCCACGCAAACGTCGTCTTCTTTGGCCTCATTTTTAACGTGCCAGTTTTTGCTCTCGTTTGCGTAGCTACCAATGGTAGAGATCTTCCTCCAGCGGAGTGGTCGACACTGGGACATTGATGGCGACAGCTTTGTAAAGTCTGAGGGCTGAATGTTGTTTACTCGTAAGTTTACAAGGTTTACATTCCGCACGGCTAATGCTGATTTAGTGGATCTAAAGCGGTTGGAAGGTTCCACTGGTGTCCACAGGGGTTTCATTTCTGGTGAGGGGCAGGGTGTTGGGCTTTTCTGAGATATAGAACCGTATCCTTCATCCCGAATGTGACTTCCAGTAGTTTCTGATTTCTCACTTTGGTCAACGAGGCTCTTATCCCCTTTCTCGCTCTCACTAGTTGGCCTTCGGGGGGAAGGAGCGCTCTCGGAGGATGGTAAGTTCTCTTCCTTTTCTGTCAGTCTCTCGTGTTCACGGACCATAGCAATTCGCAACTTACTGCTACCCAGACTGTGGTGACCGGAATCCACTTCCGTCCCTTCCCCGAACATACTTCCGGTTCCTCCAGTTTTATTCAAGTCGCATTCATCTGCCCGGTCGCCAACACCCTCTCTTCCTCCACCAGAAACCTTTTTCTTCCTCTTCCCCCTTCTCTTCTTCCTGTTCCGAGTGCGAAGACTTTTCCCCTCACTACCGCTGCCCTCCGTATCCGACTGGCTGCCTGTTCCGCTACTATCATGGCCTTGACCTTCCCCTTCGCTTCTACTTCCAGAGTCGCTGTCTGATGGTGTCGGCGGTTTCGGTCGTCTGAAGCGCGGCGTACGCTCGAGCGGGCGAACAAAGGGGAACAATTGGTTCTGCAGTAGGTCGATAAGTTCCACAATGTGGAACATCTCGCGGTCGTATGCCATTTGACGACAGCTTATCTCGTAGCGATCCAGGCATTTACCTTTGGAAGATTCTCGAAGACCCTGAAACATGTAGAATTTGTATATCTTTTGGGTTTGTTTTGGATTGCGTCTGTGAGTTTCGAACTTGCTAATTTTACCTTTCTTTGTGGCACACTTCGAAATTGAGATATAAAGATAATTTCATGTGTGTTTTTCAGCACTGAATCATAATATGGCTTAAACATTGCACAGTTTACAGTAAAACATGGTATGAAATCAATAATTTTTTGGGGAGGAAAACAATTAACTGTAACGTAAAATTACTTCATTTTTTTCTTTATAGTTACACAAAACTGCCACTCTACTCACTTGTATTATTTGATATATAATATAAAAACAAATATCAGTAACACTTATAAAATGTACAGTTGAGCAATAGAGTTGCGTAAAATTTAGTTGAAAAGCTAAATTTGTGAATACGCGAGAAATAAGGTCAAGCCTGAAAGCTTGACTGCGGTCCTGATATTCTGCCTCGTCTACCCTCGTTATGTTTCAGAAGTTTCATTGGAATGTAAACAACAGTATTAAATCTTTTGCGCGGTATAATTCACGGTGAAGAACATATAACCCTTAAAATTCTCATTTGTGAGTTGATAGGAATTGTTAAGAAATAAAAACTGTCACACGATATCAAATATTGACTCCACCCCCCCCCCCCCAAAATCAATAAACAACAACAACAACAACAAAACAGGCCTATTAGAACCATTTTTTAAAGATTTGCTCACTGGACAGTAGGCACTGCTGAATATAAACTAGTTTGTATGCTACATTGTACAAACAAATAAAATTGAGCTACGGCACCCCATTTGCAACATGATCTAAGAATAAATTTTTCATAAATTGGTTATCTGTGAAACTTGCTTGTTGACCTGTAATCACTTTCTCACTTTTGTAGGCCTCCTGCTCAAAGTTGACCTTACCGTCATTAGCGCCCTTTTGTCTGACACACACACACACACGCACATACACACACACATACACACACACATACACACATACACACACACAAACACACACTCAGACAGACATGCATAAGTACATGGAGGTGGTGGCAGCGGTTGAGTGGGGGGGGGGGGGCGAGGTGGTGAAAAGCATTAAAGTAAGTCCACTCTAGACGATTTCCGTCAATTAATCGTTAAACGAATTGGCCTTCCCAATTCCCCGATTCTATCTGATCCGATTCGACAAAGGACTGGCGTCTGTTGATTCATTGTGAATTCTGTATCTTACTCTCGAAGGAGTTTTATTCCAACTTGGGGAAGATATTTTGTACAACACCCTCATCTTTCCACTGGAATCCCAAACAATCAGATTTAGCCCTGATAAACAGAGCCAAATTGGCCGCTTCCTTAAACGAGCATAATTCTTTGAAGACGTGGGGCCCAAGTCTAGTGGTTAGACTACTGGACTCATAATCGTGAAGTTGTGGGTTCAGGGTTCGAGTCTCAGACCCGACTTTGGATCCTAAGAAATATCACTTTACACAACATATTACGCAAGCTATTGTTTCATATAAAGCATACACATTTGTGTCACGACGCAGTAAAATCAGGCACTCGTCATGTTTTGGGCGTATGCAGTTATTGATACAATCCCAAAGCCCGTTCATTTGCCTTGCTTTTGGTTAAAAAAAACCCAATAACCTATCTATCTTGAAAAGAAGTCGACATAAATGCGATTGAAGGGCGTGGGGTTACCATTTGTCAAAGGAATAAATAGAGAGAAAATGGCAGCAAAAGTTTGGTAACTCTCAAAGCTTGAGAGTTCTTGGGAAGTGGAAATTTACTTTTTTGTGTGCCTTTGATTAAAGTTTTTCAGTAGGCTAACATCAACACCGAGGTGTTGATCCCTCCAATAACAATTGATAAAAATTGCCCAACGGGCTTTAAAAATATCTTTTTCTTCGATTTCATTATTTTTACGAGTGCCTAATTTCACAAGAACACAACACATTTTAAAAATATGTATGAATAGCAGAGCTATGTTTCTTTTGTTGTTGTTTTTTTTTTGGGGGGGGGGGGGGGGGTTAGATGGCCCAAAACAGGGCGTCATCACGTGTTGAAAGACCTGAATGCACATATTCAATAAGACTGTTAACTATGTTATCAAAACTGTAGTGTAAAAATTCAGTTACTATAATTTGATTCTTACTGACCACAACAGACGTAGAGTAGGTATGGTCCACTCCGTTGTCCAGGAGAAATTCGGCCATTTCGGAATGACCTTCCCTGATGGCAGTCATAAGGAGATTCTCTCGGAACTGAGGAAAAGCAGAGAAAAGGAAACAAACAATTGATTTCTGAAGTATTCTTTGCCTGATTGCCTGTCTGTCTGTCTGTCTGTCTGTCTGTCTGTCTGTCTGTTTGTCTGTCTGTCAGTACCCCCTACTTTCTCTCTCTCTCTCTCTCTCTCTCTCTCTCTCTCTCTCTCTCTCTCTGTCTGTCTGTCTGTCTCTCTCTCTCTGTCTCTCTCTGTCTCTCTGTCTCTCTCTCATATCGTGTTTTAATGATAAATCACAAAATTGCATGTATGTTTTTTTTATGCCGTAAGATCCCACTAGTATAAGACAAATAGGCAAGTGCTGTAGTAGTAACAGTAACCTTAAATATGGACGAGTAGGTACTGTCTTTATTTTCTCGTCCTTCTTGAATTATTTCCTCTCTGCCTTTCATCTTGGCATCGGGCGTAATGTTCTGCCCTTAAAGAGATCTAAATTGAGGATAGCAATACTAGCAGGCTGTGTGATATTTCGAGACCAGAATCCACAACAACTGACCCAAGTCATGGTGACGTCAGAGTTTGGCTGGTCCAGGCAGTCCTCAAGTAGATCAATGTCTCCACTTTGCACAGCCAGGTACATGTCCTGTTGAGCAAAATAAAAACAATAAATAAGAAGGATGAAAGAAAGTCGACCTACGCATTATTGTTGCTGTTGTTGTTACACGGGGTCTAAAAAAGGACCAATTGAAAGGGAAATAAATCAGTCATCTTAACACTAAATTTAACAGAACTTCGAACAAATAAAAATTTTAAAAAAAGGGGGGGGGGAGACATTAAATGTCTTAATGAGAAGAAAATCAAAAGTTCACGTTAGAGAAATAACGAATTATCAAAACTTCAACCAAAATTAAGTAAACGTCAAAATTCACCACCTCTTAAAATCACCCACAATGCGTAACTGTACATTCAAGGAAAAGAAATAATGATTTAAAACTAATATTGCCATAGGCAAATTTTCTAGAATAGAGGGTTCATTCAAAGTCCCATGTTTTCCTTCGGTCCTTAAAAAAAAATTCGGTTTTATTGCTTATTGTTGCTGTTGTTGTTGTTATTGTTGTTGTTTTTGTTTTTGTTTTTGAAAGGCAGAGGTCTACAGAAACAATCCTTGAACAATTGAAGCTCAATGTTTAACAAGAAGTCCAAAGAAGCGATTAAAAAAACCCTGCCACAGCGCTATTCAAAATGTCTATATCTTGTAACGTATGAATTGAGCCTGTTTGGAGAGAAATGATTAACACATAAAGCATAATTTAGTAATCACCACCTGTCCTGTGTTTATAGCTTTGGCAACGTGAGATTTCAGTGAACGTCTTATCTTGTGCATGAATTACATATAAATGGCTGGCCTTTGAGGAGCTATAAACTTTCTAATTTCGCTCAATTATTTTGGTTGAAATTTCTGTAGATCTAACTAGATATTTCTTGAACATGTAAATTAATGTGCAAATTTTTAACTTGGCACCTCCTTGCTTAGATTTATTCTTTATTTGCTCGAACCCTTTTTTTAAAACTGGTGTAAAGATGGCAGAGTTATTGATTTTCTAAATGCAGCCTTCTCTTTCTTTTTAGACACCCTGTATTATTCAGCCCCCC